CAATTTCAGGTGAACATAGCAAATATTTGTAAATTAGAATGATTAACATTAAAAAAATTTAATAGAAAATTTGCAGCTTATGCCTAGAGAATTGGACAAAAAAAGTTAAAATAAAAACAAAATAAATTTTGAAAAATAATAGTGCTGACAGTTAGTAATTACTTATCTAAATTATTAACAATTGACTTAGAATAATAGAAGTAATTAACAAACAATACCGCCATTTTTTCAACCCTTTAGTTTATTAGGAATTTAATATAATGGAATTATTAACATAATTCCAGCTCTTTAAACTACTGTGAATAAAAAGTAAACTCAATAGTTGCTTGGCAAACCGCATGCTTATATGTTAATCTTTAGACGTCGAAAATCATCTTTTTATTTTTTTGAAAAAGTATTCTCTATTATTATTTTTTTTAATAATTTGAAATTTCGAGGTGGGAATAACAAAAAAAAAAGTTAAAAGCAATTTCAGCGATTTTATTTTCTGCGAAATCTGTTCATTACATATCCATATCAATTCAGTTGTACTTCTTTTTAAGATGGATACGAATAAGCTATCAGTACAGATTAGATGTCTATATTTGCAAAAACAGAACATTTTATGTATAACTTAAGATAGATAACATCATCGGTTTCAGTTTCAAAAATGTTGGTTTGTCGTTGAAAAATTACTGAGTGTTTATTTATGAATCCGCAATACTTAAATGCAATTTGGTTTTTAATTACATATATACATATATATTCCTACCTTGACTTTTGTTGTGTGTATATGGTTACTCCTTTTCGAAGGTTCGTCAGTTTAGTTAGGAAAGACTTCCTTCTGGGAAGTCTGTTAGTATTATTATCAATATTATCGAAGGTAGAAGCAACAAAAATAATAAAATTAAACCATTAATGTCGTTAATGTCGTCAGCATTAAAGAATTTTTCTTACCTCCTCAACAACTGTGTTTAGCTCCACCAAATCCTCAAACTATAAATCATCTTAAAAGTTGAAACTTTTCTGGATGCGTAACCAGATGGTGATACAATAAATATACAATCATTTCATTCGCGCCATCATCCTGAGAACTTTAACAGAATTCTTTACTGTCAAGCTTGTTCTGATGAACTGATTTACACTAATCGCTATGTAAACCAGGAGTTGCTTTTGTGACATATATTACACCAATATTGCCTTAGTGATTAGCTTCCATATACTAATCACTTTCGGGGATTCTTATTGCGACAAAAGGTAGTGTAACTTTTTTGGAAATTTTAACATACACAAACTCTCTTGAACTTCCTTCGCTTCGTTTTTGCTATTTAGTGTGACATACCTCAGTTTTACCCTTATAACTGGAATGCAGTTTCTACATTACGGTGAAAATCTTCTCCATGCATTCGAAAGTGGTTTTCAATAACAGTCATTAAAAAATGTATTTTTCTGAGAAACATTTATTCGGCATTTATTAGTGGAAATTTGTATTGGAGCAGCACTAGCTCCAGTTTACATTAAAAACCATAGCTTTTAGCTGAGAGAAATATACCGTAGTTATAAGCTACACATAAGCTATATATAAGCTATTTTTTTCATATATATAAAATATAAAAAAATACACTACAAGTCGTCTTGCATTTACAAAAAGAACAAATACTTTAAGACTATAGTAAAAGATCCAGCCCACCACAAAGCATACGTCAGCTTTATAGATAACGACGAAGGAAGAGTCGTTACAATTGTCGTTCACCTGAGCAGACACAACGGGATTGACTTTCAAGTAAAATACACGGCGACCAAAGTTAATAAAACAAAACTTACAAAAAATCAAATGTTACGGAGACCTAGCCCGATGAGCAAATCATGGATATTCCATGTTAGAAAGGAGGATTTATAGCAACATCAAATTAGTACCTCATATTTGGGCGTGTGGTATAAATCGGAACACAAATTATATGACCATTGTTAGAAATATAGCGGCACATAAATACTGTTATTGATCTTAGCTTCATATTTGTGAGTGATTGATGGTCGTTAGGACAGTCCTGAATATACAAATATCGCTAAACAATGTCATATTAAACCAATTGTCGGTAATTAAACGGTATAGAGTATAGAGTTTCATTCTTGCTAAGTAGGGATTAAAATTTTATATCCATTAAAAACTTTTGGATATTTTAGTAAATATTTATGGATAAGTTGTTACAGAAACTATTTGTAAAGATACAATTCACTGTTTAGTGCTTATAAGATGAAAAAACTTTTATATATATGCAATTTATTGTTTATAGATGTATTGTAAAGCCAGATTATATTTTAATAGAGTTTTCACTGGCCTTAATAAAATTAATTTCCAAATTTTAATGGTATATATTCGGAATTTTTGTAATAAGTCGGGGAGTGTTTGAAGCTGTTTTTCATGCTCAAAGTCCAGGATATCAACACCCATTTATTACTTGATTATATATGTATATTGTGATGCTCTTATACTATTTCGAATTATTGCTTAGTAGATTTTAATTCATTTAATTTAAATTGTGAACAGAAACAAATAAATTCCAAAGACTCTTTTATGGTAATAGTCTATTTCTGATTAAATGCATATCTAAATATATTTTTGCTGTTTGTAGTAATTCAGTGATTAAGCTTTATCTTCTTTTTAGTGCAGGACTGAAAATTTGTTCTTAATGTACAGACTTAGTTTTTTTTAAACAATTTTAAATGTAACTTCACATATTCCTCTCTGTGATATAAATGGAGAATTCAATGCAAGCATCGACGATAGCATAAAAAGCAGAAGGTGAAGATACAATTAGATAGCAGCTGCTTTAGACTGTTGACATTTGTTGGTAACTGGAACCGTTCCATGCAATTCTTTTTGTGAGTTGCTGTTTCTGTTTTTTTTTTGTGAGTTTCAGATAAAAACAAAGGCAAGTGTAAAGTTTTTAAAGTTCATACCAAATTTGTTGTTGTTGGTATTGTCGTTATTTTGATTGCGGTTCTTGCTTTTTGGCTGCATCTTTTGTTATCGTTTTGCTCAGTTGGTCTGTTGGTCTGAACTGGTTTAATGTTGCAAAAACATAATGTGTATATAATAGATATGCTCGTATCTACGTTTAAACTGGTATAAAGTATAAAGGAAATCAACAAAGAATTTCTGCAACATATGATCAACAGGTAAAAAAATTGTTGCACTTACATTTTATTGCCACAGTCAAGTGAGTTTCGTTTTTATTTTTTATTTTTAATAGTTTCCGGTTACGCTTTGGACTTTGACTTTTCACAAAAAAGCAAAAAACAAAAATAAATACAAATTCATGCAAGAAAGATACAAAAGTACAGAGAAGTTTATATGTAACTACTGTGTAGTGCTGCCCTCTGTGTTCTAAATATCCGCTTTAATAACACCAAAATGCAGACACAGATAATTCCAGTGAATTGTTTCTTAATTGATGGAATTATGCTGTGATGAACTTGTTTACTCCGTAACCAGTTTAACAGGAATTCCATATGAAGCTGAAGAATTGGGATGGACATGGAAAAAATTCAAAAATCAAAACACATTTCGACATTGTTTACATTATAGACAATTTTGCCATAAACAAGATTTCGATTTTGCCGAGTTGTTTTGAACGGATATTTCTCTCAAACTGGACTTTTAATCGCAATAAACAAATTAATTGCAATTAAAAGTGAGAATTTGTCAATACAATAAAAATTTTTTTATTTTTATGAAAATAGAATCAACAAAATATAAAATAAACAAGCAATAAAATTGATAAAAACAAATAAATTTTTAATGAGATGATGCGCTTAAAATTAATTTGCTAAATATTGATGCTTCACTGGATAATAGTATGCTAACATGACGAAGACAGAATGGCGGCATTTGTAGTAGTTGAGGAAGTCGTTGGTAAAGATTTTGTATATGATAAACATGGATAAGTGTAATATATGCAGAAAACCCCATAAGGATTGCTAACAATCTAATGGCATTTTCGATTGATAGATCTGGATTCCATCTAAATTTACTCTCTATCTGTCAAGTTTTGTTGCCTAATCGAATATTTTTAGAATAATCTAACATTTTTGTGGTGGTTTTACTTATGGTGGGACGTTGGGTCAGTGCAGCGTCCAACAAGTGGCCCCACTGAAGTGAAGGATTAGCCGAAGTAGACCACGAAATTAATTGGGTCATTTTTCGTCCTTCTATTCTCGAATATCGTTATTGAGTTAAAGCTGGAATGGCTTCCGTTCGCATAACTACATCTCTTGTTAATGCAAGCAGCTCATTTAGCTTGAGGTTGCTTGTCAAGTGATCACCAAACCAATGGTACCCAAGACAGTCTTCCTCCTACTTGCCAATGCTGGACATTGGCACAATATATGCACCGCTGTCTCCTCCTTTTTTTCTAGACATAGTCTGCAAGACTATGTAGTAGTTTTAGTAGACATTCATATTTTTATGAATATATATACCGAATCAAATCACACCCTACCTGTAGTCATATAAAAGAGCTGTTAATTTCAGGGCAGTCAAAAAATGTTTAGAGTGTAAAAAATAAATCTCAAGTGTTATACATTTCGCTAGAGATTTATCAATCAAAAATGAAAATTGCACAAAAAGTGAACCTCGATTAAAAATGTTACTCCAGATTCACTCATCGAAAACGGTATAAGTGGTTATCTAAAAGTAATTCAGAGCATTTATTTCTTACGCTGAACTATCTGCACAAGCTTTCATTTCTAGCGTGAAGCGATTGACAATGATTGTTAAGACCAATATACAAAATATTTTAACATAGTTATTTAGAAATCTATAGATGTTTTAAAATTATTTGGAAATTCTCTAGTTCTCTTCAGAGTGTAATAGTGTTACAATATATCTTCAGAGTGTTACAATATATTACAG